CTTATTTGAAACGATGCGATGCACGAAAAAAAAACAACATCCGTAAATCACATAAAGTTACAGTTGAATGTATTAGTAATCACAACAACACGCGATGATACATGCAGTGCAGGCGGAGTACGATGTTGCCAGTTGTGTGAGGGATTTCGTTTGTCTGTTTTTCTTCGGAAAATTGTATTTAATAAGCAGTTTGTTAATAAACAGACGTATTGATGCATTTTACGCTATTAGGCATATGGATTTGAATTATTAAGGGGCAAAATTAATTTATTTCATGACTAAAAAGAAATAAGTTCAGCATTTTTTTGCTCAGAAACGGTTGATTTACAGGCATAGGTTATAATGAACTTTTTGTTTAGAATATGCAAGGAATCACCTCTTAAAGTTACGAATATTATTTCCCTAACACCCTGTATAATCTGGTCACCGTGAGGTGCGCGCAGGGCCGTCATTAGGGTGGAGCGAGTGGAGCCGCGCTGAGGAAGGCATTACTCGCGCTAACAAATGAATGAAAATAATATAATAATATACATATTTACGTGCCTACAATAAAAAACCCACGAAGCAGATAATCGTGACCAAAAGATAGTATTTGCAAATAATATGAATACTTTGTAATAACATGTGCTTATTTATGAATTAAAAAAATTCTATTACGAATTTATTTATTTCGGCAGACCTAAATTTTACTATAATTTTCCTAATGGTTCATTGCTTAAAAAATTAAAGTGAAAGAGCTTAGAACATAGTCATAAATCATATTTCGTTCTTATCTCAATTCTTTACAAAGTGAAATATTGTATACTCACGTCAAAAACCAAATTTTTCTCAACCCTCGCAACTGTGAAAAATTACTTAATTGGCGTGTTTTGAGATAAAATGACTTTATCTAAAATGCTAAAAACCCTTTTTTGCGCGAGAATTTTCGAAAAATTATGAAGTAGACCACTTTCTTTAAAAAAAGGCCTAGCAAAAATGTTTTGCTCCAGGCCTCGCATTTTTGTCTTGGCTACAGATGTTGTGATTATCCGTAGGTGATAGACGTTTTCAGACCATCGAACGTGGAGGTACCGCCCGGCGGATCTTTGTGTGATGTTCCCTCCTTTCCCCTGTATCTCCCTCTAACCCCATGGTATTCATGGGTATTCAAGCATTAGGCCTCCGTGGTACCTCAGATATAAAAAGGTTCAGCTTTCAACACGAGTTCCTAAGTTTTGTACATACATCAATTCATACCTTAACGATAACTTAATTTGGAATATCGAAAAATATCAAGTAGTACTTAAAATATTTACTCAATATACAAATGTAAGATCATCAAACATGACCTAGATAATGAACTCGAGACCATTTGGAGGTCAAGCTTGTGGGTCCAAATAGCACTCACCATGTTTGGAGCTCGAGAATCCACAACAGAACGCACTTTTATAAATGAGGTCAAGTGGTCATGAGTGGGCTAGCCAGTATGACCTACTGAAGCGTCTAAAAAGTAAACGAACAACTCAAAAACTTTCCAACCACTTGTTTTTTCCAAAGTACAAATACGCCCTATTCCACGCTTTGACGTCTACTGAGGTGAGTTTGTAGCGTTTTGTTTTTGTATCCAAATGAACTTCTAAATAAAATATCTGTCAGCAAGTAGAAAATAAATCTGTAGCGTACAAAAAACCAAGACAAATTACGGCTCTGTCTAGCTGACGTTGACGGATCTCTCAGAATTATGTATCCTGTGCCGATATAGGGAATTTTGAAATACCACTAGATAATCAGCTGTCATTCTTCCGTGATGGGTACTCGTGAAATATTGCCCCAAATATAACCTAGATAATGGTCTCAGAGGTCATTTGGAGGTCATGTTTGTAAATTCAAATAACAACCACCGTTTTTGGCAGCAGATTTGCACAGGGTTCGAGATCCTTCATCAGATTGAATTTTCGTACGTGAGGTCAAGGGTCATAAGTCAACTTGGCAACTACGTAGTTTATGATAAATGGCTGTGATAGGAGTTTTTGGATATCATAAAAGATATTTACTTATAGATTTGGTTGCCAAGCTTTCGGGATGTTCGAGTAATTTTCAGGCGTTATATAGGTAATACTGACTGGGCGACTTCAAGACCAGTTGAAAGCGTACTCTGATCCCAAAGGAATCCCCTGTCAAAAACGGTGGTTGCTATTTGAATTTATAAACTAATCTACCAAATAGCCTCTGGTGCTACGGTGTAGGCAAAAAAGGTGAAAGATGACCAAAAGCAAGATTGTACAGGTCCGTACTGTCCTCAATGGTCTTGGAATAATCTAACAAAATGAATGACTATTTTGATAGAAAGAAGTGCACATACTTTTCACAATCTTCATTCGCTGGAAGTACTTGAATCATCGTCCCAATAGTTAATATTAATTATTACAGGTTCAATTTGAATATCGATTATTTTGTCCAGATCCCACATCTTTGTCTCGATTGTCTCTTGAACGCGACGGATGCCATCTTTACAATGGTTTGCCGTCACTCTCTTGACAGCTTCATAAAATAAATTTTTCCCGTCAGAAAATTTTAATGTTCTATTGTTTGAAGCCACATAGTTTTTTATAGTTGCCCAAATCATTTTACGGTTGTTTTATTCGCAGTGATAAGCCTTAAAACGGTCTTATTTTGGTTTTTATCCATTTCGTCAATAACATCAAGATTATATTTATATTTGTGCTGCCTGACTAGATGGATAAGGTCTGCTTTGACAATATTTTCATTGAAACTAATGTCTTTTGATAGGAGCTATTGTTAAATTTCTGCCTTTCTTGTGAACATTGTGGGAATTTTTTCTATTTTTCTAGTGTGGTATACAGCATTATCAAGTACAATGACGTAAAACTTTAGGTGCGTTTCTTCAAAGCATCTCCCGTCCATTTATTCATGGTAGTCGGACGTTTTCTTTGACTGATTTAATTGTAGAGTCAGCCCATAGTTTAGGTTTTGTATGTCCTGCATTTATCTAGGTTTCATCCCAGTAATAAATCTTCCTGCCCTGGTCCAGGTATTTCGTTATCGATTTTAAATAGTTTCTTCTCCATAAAATAACCTCTTGGCTGTCCATCAAAATACTATTTCTGCCAAGTTCTTTGAGTAAATTATAGAATGTGGTCCTTTTGAAAGTCGGTAAGTCTTCATCACTATTAACCTCCTGTAATACTTCGTCTATGGTGGGAGGCATTCCGATCAATGTTATCAACTGTATCCAACAGCTTCGTGAAATGCAGCCTATTTGTGTGGTGGAGACAATTTTTTGTTTTTTTTTATATTCTTAACAATGTTGAAAATTGTCTTAGGACATAAGCCTGTTTTGTGCGCCCACGTCTTTCAATATCATGAATTTTCATTTCCAGGCAGCGTATAAACGTTAAGGACAATTTCTTTTGCCTGAATATCCAAATGTCCCTTCTTGTCACGTATTCTGGGAGGAGACATCACTGAAGAGGAAGCATGAGTGAAGGAAGCGTTGGGAGAAATATCCTGTTTCATTTGCTGTATCCGTAGACAACATGCTAACGTATAAACACATGCTATGTATGCACCGAATATGAACAGCAACTGCCGGCAACACCCCGAGCCCGAGTTCTATCCTGTCGAATCCTGCACTTGTTCGTAGTTTTATGGTCGAATAACCAATATTCATTGCAACGCTTAGGCGGCTGCCGCTATGCCGCACTGCTACTTTGTTGTGCCGGTGCGTAAATGGACTACGAATAGGGTATAGTGAATAAATAGAATCAGCTCGACCTCCCTACACCACGATTACACAGCGCCATACATAATCTCGGAGACCGTTCTACAAAAACGTCCCATAACTAACTACATATTCTTAAATCGTCACCATAGGCTTCTCGCTGTTTTAGAGTCTTTCCCAGCCTACCGACCAGATTGTGTAAGGCTAGATCAGTCGATTTCCCAGTCTGGTATGCGAACGGATTAGAATAAAAAATCTGACAACTATCCTTTCCAATGTCTGTAGCACAAAAGACGAAAGGGTAATCGGACGAAAATCGTTCGGGCCAGTACAACTAGCTCTGTTTAGGAATGAATATTACTCTAGCCTGCCGCCAGCTTCTAGGCGTGAAGCATGTGACTACATGCTCGAAACACCCTTACTTGAGGGATCATGTCAAGCTTCAGGCGCAGTGACATTATAGTCAAGCGGAATCGCACAGCAACCCTCTGTTGCGCGACTCAGTGGACAGCGGAGCCACGGCTCGCACTGTAATAAAAAATTAGCGCGAACTTTTAGTAAACTCAAAATTATTCTCCAACAAAACCGAATCAAAATTTGTTTAGTTCTCCTCAAAATTAATCCGTGTAACAAGTTAAAAAGCCTAGGTGTTTCCTCTTAAACTAAACACTTCTGTTTTTCTTTGCTCTTCTCGTTTTTTCTTCTTTTTCCCATTCTTTTTTCCTTGGCATTGTCTGGTTTCTGGGCAACCAGGACTGACAGATTCGACTAATGTACATTAGACAGTGACTAATGGGCCCAGACAAACAAATGACGACCTTCAAAAGGTAGTAAATGCAAATCTCCGTTTCAAGGTAAAATGTGCCAATCTCTTTTAAATATGGATTTTTCGCAAGAACCCTGATAATTCAGCCGTTTTTCATGAAGTTTTATAAAAAAGAAGATACGCGTGAATAAAATGAAACAAAAACCCTGAAAAAAAATCGACGGACCTGAATCTGGCAATCTAGGTGGCTATCATTAAGTACTGCGATTCATCTGTACACGCTGCAGCTCCGCCATTTGTTTCGGCTTGTCGAAGCTCATAACATCGAGAACACGTCTAACACCCTGACTTTGGAAAAGGTCCAGATAACACACGATCTAAAATACTGAGGTTTAACTGCCAAGGCTACGCAGTTCATACCCGACGCGGTTAATTTTTTAATCAAGTGAGACAGACAAACAGACATTTGTTGTAAATTGGACTTTAGGTGCATGTCGAAATAAAAACCACGCATGCATATTGAAACATTTTATTTACAACACATTAAATATAATAGAAAATAATCATTCGACTCCTTTCATGTAACAAATACATTCTTCGAACTGTTCCCATTTAACAAATAGAAAAACTCGGATGAACATCACAGACAATTATTGTATTATTAAGCAACGAACTACCCTGGAAGTATAAGCAAAGGAATCTTGAAATGTAACCTTGACCTTGTAGCAAATATTCTGAGCAAAAGTGAAAGTTTTGAGTAACTGGATCTTTCAGAGTAAGCTCAGTCTCAGAGATGAATGAGATGACCTTGAAATCTAACCTAACGTTTAAGACAAAGTGATCGAAAGTATAAGTTCCATATGAATTTCTTGGGTTATCTGCATATCATTCAAGTGTTTTGGATTTCAGGCAAAATCGCTCAAGACCTTTTTGACGTCTCATAGATGACTCCTTACTGGTGTACTATCCTCCTACGGTAACTAGTAGTTAGATAAAGCTATACATCTGTACAGAGCTATCAGCATTAAGATACATCAGGTATATTTTTATCTGTTAAAACAGATCAAATAATGTTCCAATTTTGTACAGTTATTGGACAATGGACGGCATCTGCATTTTGATAAACAGGGTGTTCATCTGAAAACTTCTTACCACGGATTTATCGAAAACCACTGATTAAAAGGAAAAACGCTTAGACACGTCAAGAGAGTTGTCAGAGGGGACAACTTTTTAATTAAGACCTACTTGACCCCCTTTCACCCTCTGCCCCCAGGGTCAACCCCTTAAAAAAGTTAAAAGTCAAGGGGTATCGAGTAATATATTATTTGATAGGTCCTTTAAAGTCCATTATTTTGACGTTTGATTTTTTAAAATCGGTCGATTCGTTTTCAAGAAAATTATAAAAATCTTCATTTATCTTGTTCAGATAGAAAACATAAACACACGAATCACTTTGTATTTCAATGAGTGTTCAAAATTTTGCCCGTTATTGGCCAGACAATGATATAGGCGATGTTGAAATTCCAGACTGACATTTTCAAAAATATGTTGTGGGATACCATGGCAGCTTTCGATGATGCGTTGAAGAAGTTCATCCAAACTTGCAGGTTGGGGAGTAAACACAATAGATTTCAAATGGGTCCATAGAAAAAAGTAATGACGTCAATACTATAGGCCCTCTTCGCCCTATCCGTTAACCTGGAAACTCGTCGCCTAGCCATTGCCGAAGAACGTAGTGAGGAGGAGCACTGTCTTACTAGATAGGGCGAAGGGGGCCTATAGAATGGCCTGGTAGATCTCCTGATTTGACGCCATTAGACTTTTTTCTATGGGGCCAATTGAAATCTATTGTGTTTACTTCCCAACCTGAAAGTTTAAGGGGCAACATTTTGAACACTTATTGAAATAAAGGTGATATTTTCGTGTATTTTTGATATCTATCTGAACAAATTAAGATAAATAAAGATTTTTATAATTTTCTTGGAAACGAATCGACTGATTTAAAAAAATCAAACGTCGAAATAAAGGAATTTGAAATACCTTTCAAACAAGCTATCACTCGATACCCTTTTGTCATTTAAAATTTTTAAGCGGATGACCCTGGGGGCAGAGGGTGAAAAGGGGTGAAGTAGTTTTTGGTTAAAACGTTGTCCTCCTTGACAAATCCTTTAACGTGTCTCGGCGTTTTTTCTTTTAATCAGTGGTTTTCGATAAATAAGTTTTCAAATGAACACCCAGTATATTGTAACAAAAGAGGTGTGCATTTCAAGTGTGCGCATTCGATGTTCCTGCGTATCATTTTTTCGTAATACTTCGTGGCTTAACAAGAAGTCGTATTCGGTGAAGAACATGTGATAAAACAATGGAAAATAAGTTAACTAAAATACGCCAATTTACAAACTGAATAAATGTCGGCAAAAATCAGGATATTTAAAGGATGCAAAGTTTCATAATTTGTCGGAAATACACCATTGCTCGGTACAATTTTAGAATAGGCCAGCAGAGTTCTAAAAATCGCTAAATTCCTAATTTTTGCAACGACGTAAAATACAAAAAAATACACGCTCAGGTATTTTCCAGACTGACCTGAAGTAGTAGACAGCAAAAATGAACGAGCACTATCATTTCACTATTTCCAAGAAAGAGAAATGGGTATTTTCCACCAAACTCGAGGAATGAAGAATCTAAATATCCGACGAAACATGCCAACTTGTCAGATTGAGCTTCTAGAAGATGCAATGGAAGTTCAATTTTGTATGTACAATGGAAGTTTGCCCAATGTACATACAGGTTGTTCCGTACTCAAATGGATATAGTAAAATGGTAGGTTGCATAGACGAAGACCGCTTCATATCTGAAAATCAAGTCCTAAGTTCAGTTTGTACGGATATACAGGGTGATTTATCTAAGCCCACCAAATCATCAATAATATTTAATACCGTATGTCTCAGGAACTATTGAACCGATTTTATTGAAATTTTGTACGATAACAAAGTTGCCTAGGATTTACGTATAACTATACGGCCGCTTCAAAAATCCAGATCCGAGCCCGATTTTCCTCATTTTTTTGCGAAATAATAAATCTAGAACATAACTTACAGAGCGTTGCACTCATCAAAATACAAGGAAATAAAAAAATCCGACACTGGAATTCTTAGTTCCCTCAGTTCAATTCCAAGCATAATTTTGTAAAATGTTGGTAAAACTAAGTTGATAACCCTCAAAATTTTAAGCTTAAACTGCTAAAAATAAGATATCTGAATAAATAGTTTTTTTTTTACTAAAAAGCTAAAAGAGGCGCAATCAATCTATTTTTTTATACATAGTCAAATCCAGCTTAAAAGGTGTTGATTTTGATAAAAAACAAGATAATAAGAAAAATCGAGTCTGACCCCGTCCGTATAGTTTTGAGTTACTCCTAGTCAACTTTTTTATCATGCAAAATGTCAACAAAATCCGTTCAATGGTGCCTGAGATATGTGATATTAAGCATTTGGTGGGTTTAGATGAATCACCCTGTATATCGGTAAAAATTGAATTTAGAACTTTTCAACTTTCAGATATAAAACAGTCTCGGTCCATACTACCTAACGCCTTACTATGTCCATTAATGTACGGAACACCCTGTATATTTGATATCCAAGAACCTTTGAACATTTCTTAATGTGGATGTACAGGATACCGCAAAATGAATGTCATACTTTGAATTACTTTCCTCGCGTCCGTTCTCAAAATTTACTTTTGATATTTTAGGATTCATTAGGCAATGCTTGGAAAATTTAATATAAAGTTCAGAGTCTGTTGGGTGCATACTTCATTTTAAGGCTTGGGAACCCTCAGTACTAGACGTCATCTCGTTCCAGACATTCGTTAAAGAAACAGTATTAAACTTCCGTTGTGCTGACAACTGGAGTCCAGTTTCTATTGCTGGTTCTTAAAATTAAATAACGCTAACATATTGCAACGCCCTATAACTGGAACTCTGGGTACCAGCGAGATATACTCTCGTATGAATATTAGATACTTCCATGGACGTTCGTGACTCGGCCTGGAAAATGCTGGAACATATCTCGACTCGTCGACAGGGGAATAAATACCCGACCAGATGACGGAAGCAGTCAGTCACAGTTACGGTCGTTTTCGTAACAATATTTCAATAAGAGCTGTGAAAAAATATCCACCCTGTGGTTTCAGCCAGATTAAACAAAGGCACTCACTTCAAGAAAGCACTCAATGGCTCTGACTTTGAGCATATTGACGTAAAAATAGCAGTTACAACGCCAGAAATCTTGCGGAAAGGAAGGTAAAACGCTATGGAAGACGACGCTTACAATAATCAGATATCCACCTCACCTTCAAGGGTGAGGTTTGTAAATTAAATCGGCAATTGAAAGTTCAGGATAAATTTTATTACGTAACAAAATGAATCAAGGACCTCTCAAAACTGCGAGGCTTAGTAGGATTGTTGATGGAAAAATCCTTTTTTCTTTCAGCAAGAATGTCAATAGCGTCCTAAAGGCCTTGAACATCTTCAGTCATTTCAAGGTCAACTCTTTGCTTAAGAGGGAATCCCTCCTCTTTGAACAATAATACGTTCTCTACATGACCATGAAGGTGAGGCTCAAGGTAAACTTCAAGGTTGGTAATATTGATTGTTGTTGAAAGTTACTGTACCTGTAAGAATTTTCTGTAGCCTCACACAATTGACTTTCATCTGACCTATAGAGGTGACATGGATCGTGATACATATTCGGGAAGAATTTTTCGCTCTTTCGAATGCCGCTGTCAAAAAGAAACCAAAATTCACCTTGACACAACCTTGAAGGTGAGTCTCAAGATCAAACTTAAAGTCATCACTGCGCTTGTTGTTCAAATTCAGTAAAAGGCCTGACCTGTCTGAACCTGTCTCAAAAATACCTTGGACTAGTGCAGAGCTGTTCTGTTACTTTTCTTACACCCAGTATAGTGGACATTGGACGGTGGATGTCTTGTATATTCATTTGGTATCCATAGTAGTTTGGCGTGGGAAACTTGCTAGAAACTTAGTAGGATTGTTCTTCCAGAAAGAATTTCAATAGTGACCTTGAATGAGCCTCGAACGTCTTCAGTCATTTCAAGGTCAACTCTATGTTTAACTGGGAATCTATCCTCTTTGAACAATGGACGTACTCATATACTATTATGACCTTGAAGGTGAGGCTCAAGGTTAACATCAAGGTTAATATTGATTCTTGTTGAAAGGCACTGAACCTGTAGAAATTTTCTTTAGCCTCATACATTTGACCTTCACAGGTGACATTGGTCTTAGATCGTAATACATATTCATTAGCAGAATTTTTTGCTCTTTCGATTGCCGCTGTGTCCTTGACGCAACCTTGAAGGTGACGCTCAAGGTCAAATGCAAGGTCATCACTGAACTCAGTAAACACCTGATTTTGACATTGGACGGTGGATGTCTTGTATATTCATTTGGTATCTAGAGTCGTTTGCCGTGAGGAACTTCCTAGAAGCTTAGTAGGATTGTTGATGGAAAAATCCTCAGCAAGCTTTCAATAGTGACCTTGCATGAGCCTCGAACTTCTTCAGTCATTTCAAGGTCAACTCGTTGCTTAACTGGGAATCTATGCTCTTTGAACAATGATACGTACTCATATAGTATTATGCCCTTGAAGGTGAGGTTCAAGGTCAACTTCAAGGTTAATATTAATTCTTGTTGAAAGGTACTGAACCTGTAGGAATTTTCTTTAGCCTCACACATTTGAGGTCATAGAGGTGGCATTGGTCTTAGATCGTAATACATATTCGTTAGCAGAATTTTTTTCTCTTTCGATTGCCGCTGTATCCTTGACGCAACCTTGAAGGTGACGCTCAAGGTCAAATACAAAGTCATCACTGAACTCAGTAAACCCCTGATTTTGACATTGGACGGTGGATGTCTTGTATATTCATTTGGCATCTATAGGCATTTGCCGTGGGAAACTTCCTAGAAGCTTAGTAGGATTGTTGATGGAAAAATCCTCAGCAAGACTTCAATAGTGACCTTGCATGAGCCTCAAACGTCTTCAGTCATTTCAAGGTCAACTCTTTGTTTAACTGGGAATCTATGCTCTTTGAACGATGATACTTACTCATATAGTATTATGCCCTTGAAGGTGAGGCTCAAGGTCAACTTCAAGGTTAATATTGATTTTTGTTGAAAGGTACTGAACCTGTAGGAATTTTTCTAGCCTCACACATTTGAGGTCACAGAGGTGGCATTGGTCTTAGATCGTAATACATATTCGTTAGCAGAATTTTTTGCTCTTTCGAATGACGCTGTGACTTGACGCAACCTTGAAGGTGACCCTCAAGGTCAAATGCAAGGTCATCACTGAACTCAGTAAACACCTGATTTTGACATTGGACGGTGGATGTCTTGCATATTTATTTTGTATCCATAGTCGTTTGGATTTATCACAGTAAATTTTGATTTTAGATAAATTATCACATGCGCATAACGATAAACAAGAAAACTGGCTTCTAGTGGAATCGTTCATCATTCATCAGCTATCTACTACTTGATCCAGTCTGCTTATCTCCTGCCAACTGCAACATCTTCCAAATGCTCTATGCTACCATAAATAAGTAAATACATTTATAACACCTCAAAAATAAATAACAACATTAATCTCCTTAAATATCCCTGCAAGGAGGAGCCAAAAGGTTATCATTAGTGCAGATTTTCTCGCGGTAGCTCGTAGTTTGTGGTAGCAGGGTGCTAGATCGGTTGTGTCTCAGATGGCTTCTGACCAGATGTCCAGCAGCCAATGCAGCCATAAGGGACAGCTCTCCAGCAAGAACCATACCGCAGACTATTCTGGCTAACTGGCTGGCATTTTCTCCAGGAAGTTCTGGATGAGCACCTTTCACTTTGAGCATTTCTAGGCAGGCTGCCTGTGCTGGCAGGACTGTACCGCCTCCTATTGTTCCTATTTCTATCGAGGGCATTGTGCAAGAGATGTACAAGTCTTCCCCTGGAAAATAAAAATGGCATCAAGTAGGCTCAGTACTTCCCATGCATTGGCGAAAAACTATTTGAAACTTTTAAGTCATTTTTTATAAGTGAGGTATGGAGAAAACATTAAAATTTTAAAAACATAGATTGAGATTTTTTACAAATTTTGCAAAAACAGGATAAGCTGGTTTCGAATTTTTGCATCTAATGGGAAAAATATTCTGATTCGGATTTTTGTATAATCCAATTCAAAAAGGGTCCCTTTTAGCGAATTGGTACAAATTTGCGTCAATAATTTTTTAGCAAATTTCAAAAATTGTATTTTCCGCTCCGGTGTTTCTAGGTTTTTTGGGACATTCTGAACAAAAAAATGCTCTAGAACTCTTCTCTAAAGTTGATAGTATTCGACACATAAGCGATGCGATATTTGTAAAAGTGCGAAATATGTCATTTTTGACCCCCACAAACAATGATTTACTTTATTACCTTTCGGTCCATACGGCTCCATCAAAGTCATGCAGTTACTACTTCCAACATTTTGCGCAGGATCCTGGCCAGTTGCAATGAAGATAGCTGTGACGATATTTGCTGCATGGGCGTTAAATCCACCGATGCTCCCGGCTACCGCTGACCCGATCATATTCTTTGAGTAATTCACATCTACCAGAGCCTGGACTGTCGTTTTAAGTACTGTCATCACTGTTTTTGCTGGAATCACCGCTTCACAAACCACTGATTTACCTCTTCCTTCAATCCTGAAAAATATACCGTTAGTGTGGCAAATGTACTAAAGTGATTGTCATTCAGTTACACAGGCGCCTAAACGACCTCACTGGAAGTTGATTTTAAATATAGGGCTTGAAACTTGGGACTTTCCTTTTCACAAACTACTATGTTTGCAATAACAAAGCTAGAGTAAGAATTGAATAAAAATACCCAGTTCACTTGATGAAAACTTCCAATGACCACCTTGTTGCACATAGGCGAACGAGGGGGGAGGGGGTGGTCAGTGTAACTCTTTGGTGATAGAAAACGGCGTCTTATGCTATGTTCAAATATGTAACAATACCGCGAACCGAACCTCGCGACGAACCGCAGCGCGCAACAAAATGACGATCCAACTTTGATGCTGGTCGTTCAGTGAAAGACGAATACTAACTGAGATGGATATAGCAGTAGCAGCCGCTGCCTATATTCATATTCACTACGAATTTTGCAAAAACAAGTGATGACGACGTCCGAGACGATGGTGGCAAACGCAGTTATATACAAATAGATCAGCACACGGTTGCAACATTTTGATAACGGAATTGCCATTTTCCGTTTACATAAGCCAGCTGTTGTTCTCACAACAATTCCGCTGCACTGTAATGCTCTATAACCAAAAGAGTTTTCTCCTCCGACCATTCCATCTTCTCTTCACGGGGTCTATCCATTTACAGAGATGAGCGCGTGCTCGTCGTACCTATATGCCTGTCTAAACATGTGCAACTTCATCGCGAGCCATTCGTTTGATGTTGCGCTGAAAAACCGACAGAGCCTGGATCGGGCCGAACGGCGAGCTGTAACGCTAATCAGGTTCGCGACGGCGTTCTTCCACCGTCTACACTAGCGCGGGGCGATTCGTCGCGTAGTTCGGTTCGCGGTGTTGTTACATATGTGTACCTGGCTTTAGAAGGAGCCGTGGAGAATGAAGATGGGTCCCAGCGGAGGCTGCAACCGCGCGCTCGAGGTTTTCCGTCAGCTCCACGACGGAACATCAGCTGGGAAGGAGATGATACCGGAAATACACAACGTGTTCCGCGAGCAATGGACCCCTGCGGCACCCGAAGGCCAAGATCGAGCTGTACTATTCGAGAGAATAGCTGCCGACATCTTGGGACTGTTTCCAGAATCTCAGAACGGGATCATGGTGTACTTTACTAGTGGGTCGAGGCGTATGCTACCCCCAACCAAGAAGCTGTCACGGCTAGTCGATAACATTAGCAGCCGATGTGGAGTCGCACTAGAGCTGAAGTCCGACCAGAGCAGGAACTTCGAGAGAGAGCTCTTCAAAGGAGTCTGAGGAAGCTGACGGGCATCAGAAATATCCGGGCTATGGCGCTGCACCCCCAATCGGGATGAACCGGACCATTGGAAACTACTTGAAACCCTTTTCAGGTCCGTCTCTGTTCTCATGCCTTTGGTTTTCGGTTTTATAGCCGTTTTATGACTTTCGGCAAAAAATGTAAACGAATCTAAAGGCGGGTTTACACGATACATCTTATTGTACGTTTTGTGAGACAGAATCCAATGAAGCGTAGCGTGTAAACAGCAAAACGTACGTCTTCGCGAATCGAAATGAACCAAGGTCAGATTGAAAAACTGATGAGAGAAGCATCATTTTGCGTACCTGATAGGACAAAACGAAATGTGTAGATTCATATTCTGACAAGATCTCCGATCTTGACTCAGTTCACGAGTAGTTCCACTTCGGTTCCCTTCTTTTTTCCCAAAAAAACCTAATAATGTCGGACTTGCGGCAATGCACCCACGAATTCATTGAAATGTATACAAGTTTTCCGTGTTTGTGGCAAGTGAAAAATAAAGACTACAGTGACCGTAATAAAAAAACGTCGCGTATGAGGATCTTATAAAAAAATACAAGGAAATAGACCCTACGGCAAATAAAGAGACAAAAAAAAATAAACTCGTTGAGATCGGCTTACAAAAAAGTGAGGGCATCAGAAATCTCTGTTAGTAACTCTAGCAATTGATGATAGGCTGAGGTGTCCAATTGCAAAATTGCGCCAGTCGTTGTTTCAATAACGAGACGTGGAAATACTGGCTTCTTTTCAGAACCATCTTTTCTCTCTGCACCTCTTTTCCGCTCAGTCGTTGTATGCTTACAGTTGAAAAAATAAAAGAAAGCAACCGTGTTTCCTCCATAATAAGAAATGTCTCTCAAAAAAATTCACTAAACAAACTTCACACAACTCAAGAATCTAGACTGGAACTGTAGTAGAAAGGGAAACCACGTAGTGTGTATACGCTGGACAAAACGTACGTTTTGTCGAACGTTTTGTATGCCCGCCAAAACGTACAATAAGACGTAGCGTGTAAATCCGCCTTAAAAGCTTTGTCGTTTAGTATACCAGTGAGGTACATCAACTAGAAAATTCGACAAGTGGCCAAAAGTGGGTTCGACACTTAGTCAACCAGAATTACGCGACAATGTATGAGGCCTGGTTACGTTCTTGACCGTTCGCGACGCCATTGCGAACCTTGTACACGTATGGAGATGAATCTGCTGCCATATAGACCACTCCCATGGGAGTTCGTGACCATATGGCGGAAGCAGTCAGCCGCAGTCGAGTCAGTGGACAGCGATCGCCGAGTTAAGCCGCTCCCACACGATGTGGCGAATGCCTTACAACGTTGGAACACATGGCCATTCGCCACATGTGTGGGAGAACGCTGACGGATTGCATGTATCCAACGTTCGCCGCATGGCACGTTCGGACTCTCGTCGGTAAAGACCTGCGTCAAAGGACGTTACAACGTTACGCTTCCACACGAGATGTCATATGTTTGATGGTTTTAGGATAGAACCACTAGCGGCGAAAAGCATTATTTACTTGTTTGCTGTGATTGTGGTGAATTATTTTGATTTCAATACCTACCTATTTTCATATTGCTAATATTTTGTACATTTTGCAGGCGAGTTAAGGATGGTCTAAGTATATGTATTCTAGTAAATTATAAATTATCAAGTGCTTACAGTCGTTTCACTATAATGTCCTGTTGCAATGCGAGTTGAGAAATATATTGACTTGTATTTCATATCTATCAAAAAAAATTAAATAAATGATAACTCTGAAAGTACTATCAGGATTTTGATGAAATTTTGAGCCTAGGTTATGAAAAATACGAAAAAGCTATGCAGTTTTTGAAAATCGGTAGTGGCGGCAGAGTTATCATCTAAAAACAAACAAGAAACGGTTAAACCTCGTTTTTCGACATTTTTGAGACGTATGACAGACTTAAGTTTTGGTCGCTGAAGACAGCTTCAAGCGCAACACTGACACCTGGCACACGTTGGCACCACCATGCGTCAAACGTTCAAGACTAAAAAGTTGTTCTCATCGTGTAAGAGACACACTTGCCAGTTATGGTGTATCGAACGTTGGAAGCATCGTGTGGGACCCGCATTAGATGGAGTGATAGTCCGGTCGACATAGTTATAAATTTGTTATAAATTGTGTTATAAATTAATGTGTGAGTGATAATTAGGAGTTTGAACAATAGGAACTGTGTTTTTGTTACAATACATAGTCCGAAATACTCACCAGTTGACGGCAGATGGTTTCTTATCCGTACAAAAGTTGCCACTGAGACTCACTATATCCATGGTAGGGAACACAGTCTGTACATATTTGAGGGAAATTTCGGTGCCTTTTGATATCATGTTCATACCCATAGCATCGCCAGTCTTAGCAACAAATCTAATGAACAAATATCGACCTGCGATCTTTATCAGGATCTTTGCCAATCTAGCGAATCTGCTACTGGAGTCGAATTGATCCTTGATGAGAAGGAAATTTTCGGGAGATTCCATCCATTTCATCGCCGCACTAAAAGAGATGGAGTCAAGTAGATTAACTCAGTACTTCACTTTTAGAAATAAATGCTGCTCATGTCTTAACACGACAAGTAAGTAAGCTGAAATTCGGGATTGTGAAATTGATGCATGTATGGCGGTCACTTAGTAGCACCTTTTAAGACCCTTTATGTGTACATTCTTTATGTAAGATCTTTCAAGATAGAGGACTGGCAGGCTGTCAAAGTTGAGTGTTTATGTACATTGAGCTCCACAATAAATTATTAAAAAGCTATATACTCTCATACCGAAACGGAAGAGAGCAGTAGAACACAGAACTTGACCTACCCAAACAATAAGTAGAGCGGGACCTTTTTTAAAAACACTGTATAATGTATTCATGGAGAGTCAAATAAAGCAGGTTATCTGGAAATCACAAACCTAGCATCAGTGATTGAGGGAAACCTCACAACAGGTCCTCGGGTCATTCCGTCTGCCACTACTCTGCTGGTGACTCCACCTGGTTTCAAAGCCCTACAGCCTCTATTTGTGCTAGCGACTAGACAGCCTTCAGTTGTGGCCATTGGTACGTAAAGCTCGGCACCATTCAAAATCAGCGGACCAGCATAGCCTACAGGGACGGGCATGTATCCTATCACGTTTTCGCAACATGCACCCATAACCTAGAAAAAATGAGCACATTAAAATTTCGCGTGAATATTGTTCAAATTTACTTGTCAATCATTTTCCTATACAGAGGTGGATGGTAGCCGGACACAGCTGGGGCACAGTTTAACTTAAATATTTCGCATTTTAAAAACAAGTTTGGCTTTCGAGGGGGACAATGATGGTGACTTTGAAGATGACCTTGGCCACGACCTTCAAGGTGATTTCAATATCACGTGAATATTTTTAAATGCCCCTTTTTACCCCGGAATACGAAAGGCGAAAATTTTACTATGACCTTGACTATGACCAAGACTGACCTTTAAGGTCGAAACAACACCTTGAAATATTTCGCATCATAGAAACAACTTTTAAACAAAAGCTGTTGCGTTTCGAAGGGGCACAATGATGGTGACTTTGAAGATGACCTTGACCACGACCTTCAAGGTGATTTCAATGCCAAGTGAATATTTCCAAATGCCTCTTTTTACCCCGGAATATGAAAGGCAGAAATTTTACTATGATCTTGACTATTACCAAGACTGACCTTCAAGGTCAAAACAAGACATTTAGAATAATTTTCTCTAGCAAAAATGTCCGACAGCATAGTTGTGAGGTTTGTGGGGTTCACCCAGAAGTGACCTTTACCATGACCAAGGTCAGGTAATATTTTCAAAGGAAAGCCCTCATTTTTATATACAGGGTATCCCAATATTCCGTGGACATAGAAGTATCACGTATTTTTGAAGTCAAAATAAATCAATTGAACATTATTTTGTTTTAAAAACCCATTTTTTCAGATATTTTTTGAACCGATAGTCCAAATATTGCTGAAATTTACTTGTCAATCATTTTCCGATACAGTGGTGGAGCGGGAGCCGGACACGGCTGGGTCACAGTATTCACGCACTACTTGCCATTAACTTCTTAGATCGGGAATCCATCTTCTAAGCTATACAGGGTGTCCTGTTTTTATTTCCCCACTAAAATGTTTTGCATCCTAGAAACCACTTCTAAGCAAAAGCTGTTGGCTTTCAAGGGGGCACAATGATGGTGACTTTGAACATGACCTTGACCACGACCTTCAAGGTGATTTCAATGTCAAGCGAATATTTTCAAATGCGCCTTTTTTACCCCGGTATATGAAAGGCGGAAATTTTACTACGACCTTGACTATTACCAAGTCTGACCTTCAAGATCAAACAGGACTTTGACAATATTTCGCATCCTAGAAACAACTTTTAAATAAAAGCTGTTGGGTTTCGACGGTGCACCATGACGGTGACTTTGCAGATGACCTTGACCACAACCTTTCAAGTGATTATTTTCAAATGCACCTTTTTTAACTTGGAATATGAACGGCGGAAATTTTACTATGCCCTTGACTATTACCAAGACTGGCCGTCAAAGTCAAAACAAGACATTGAAATTTCTCGCACCCCAGAAACAACTTTTAAACAAAAGCTTTTCAGTTGCGAAGAGGCACAATGATGGTGACTTTGAACATGACCTTGACCTCGACCCTCAAGGTGATTTTAAGGTCGAGTGAATATTTTCAAATGCACCTTTTTTACCCCGGAATATGAAACGCGGAAATATTAGTATGACCTTGACTATTAACTAGACTGACCTTCAACGTCAAAACAAGACATTGAAAATAATTTTCTCTAGCAAAAATGTTGGACAGCATAGTTGTGAGAATTGTGGGGGGTCACCCTGAAGTGACCTTGACCATGGCCTAGATCAGGTAATATTTTCAAAAGAATTTGCTCATTTTTGTATACAGGGTGTCCCAATATTCTGTGGACATAGAAGTACCTCGTATTTTCAGAGTCAAAATAAATCGATAGGACATGGTTTACCTCTAAATCATGCTAAATATGCAATTTTCAAGGCCCAACCGGATTCTCAAGGGGAGCGACGGCCCCCCTGGCACCTCCCTGCGGGCGTCCATGTTAACGTGGTCGGTAATGTCGGTACGAAAGGGGAGATCGCAACGTTGTCAAATAGGTGGAGACTATCGATTCACTGCATAGACTTGTTTTACTAACTTAATTCATTTAAATTTTTATTACACATTCTCGTAGCTAACTTTTTCATCAGAAGGAATAATTTGTGCCAGACATAAATTGATGACAGCGTTGCCCGCAGACTCAACCTGTTTGACGCCATTTTAGTAGCTCTTTTAACTGCACCGAACGAATTCTGAAAATCCAGTGAATACCATCAAAATGACGTTTGGATTGAAATTATAATACATTTACCAGTCCATAATCGTAGTTCATATAGGGTAAGTCTGTAAGAGCCTTCAGTATATTGGCTTCCCTAGCTAAGATCTTTCTTCTAATTCCAACGCCTCTCACATGGTCGTCAACTGCTTTTTCTATCTGATAGGCTGCGATATGTTTGTGTTTCACCAATAAAATTACTTCGTTGTCTGTTAAGGCTACTGCTCCTAAGTCTGAGTTGTAAATTGCCAAGCATTCATCTAAACTTCTTTCAGGTTTTGATTCTTCTTTTTCTTGAAAATAATTCTCCTGCACGAAATCATACTTTGTTGTTTGCACTGCTTTCTCTTCCGTTTCTGGTCCTAAAATATGCCTTCAAAATATATGAGGTGTTTCAGATTGTCGTTAGAATAATTAGAGGATTGATCCAGTACGTAACAATTTAAAAAAAGGCCCAGTGTGATTCTGGTCCCGGAGCAGTAAGATATTTGGTCATTGTGACGTTGAATTTGACCTTGCAAATGAATCAGAAGATCAAATCAAGGTCAAGACGATTTTTTTAAATGGTAACCTATACTTTTGACCCCGGAAACTTATATAACGCATAATGTTACGTTTAGACATGACTTTAGGTGAACATTATTTTGACCTTGAGCGATGCTGGATCGGATGATGTCTGAAAGTTAAATTTCTATCCGTTCTATCCATTCCCAGGACCAACTGCAAAAAGTTATCTAGACCTTGAACTGACTATCAAGGTCAGGGTAAAAGTCAGTTTCATGGTCGCCAGTGAATAGCCGATAAAGTCGTGTCTTTAGAAACATCCCATACAGTTTGTCAAACGATGGTTTCGATGATGATCTTGAAAAGGACATTTAAGGTTAAAATAACCTTCACTCAAAATCGTAGCCTAACGTGAATATTTCCTAGCTATTCGTAAGCAAAAAATAAATGCAGAAACATACCGTCTGAATTTTCTCCATCACTATTTTCAATAAAGAAAGTGTCATTGGGCTTAAACAGTGCCATTTCTGGTTTAAATTGCTGTTTTACTTGGTCATTCAAACTTTGGTCAATATCCTTACAATTCGAAAATTCTGCCTTTATTTGTTCGGCAAAGTCGTCCTTGTTTTCAAAAAATATGAATTTGACAACCAAGGCCAGCAGTAGTATCAGAATCACTATATGGTCTGCGCTTAGGTACATCCATCTGAAAAAATGCAATGAGTAACGGAATAGATAGATTTGCTTTGAATCAAAATTACGTAGTCAGTAGCCAGGCTTAAGCCGTTGTTCACACTTCGCATTAAACTCGTTTCCATACACTCCTACATTTTATTGCCACGAGATTCTCTTGAGGAAGCTTAACACGCCCCAAAAAATCTATGAATATTAAGGTCCCTTCTTTTTAGATTTCTTTTCAACTTCCTGTTTAGAGCAGCAGTATTCTAAATCCGTTTCATCTGATAATTTCATGGTATGTATAGAGATTACTAGAAAACAATGTTCTTTTTTTGCCAAAAAAGCATTCGTTGTGCATTTTATTATGCATTCTTTCTTTAATCGGAACTTGTTAACATATGTAAGTACAGCTCTGAAATTGTATGTGAATATTCCCTTTTTACGGAAGAATGAAACGATTACTTTTGTTCTTATCACTTTTCCCTTCCAAAAAATCTTTGACTTTCTTGAAGCTTCGTTTCGCCGTAAGTTGTGTTTTCAAGAAGAGCAAAGATTTTTTCGAAAAGGGATAAGTGATAAGAACAAAAGTAATCACTCGTTTCATTCTTCCATAAAAGAGGAATATTCACACACAATATCAGAGCTGTACTTATATTTGTTAACAAGTACGGATTGAAGAAAAAATGCTCAATAAAATGCACAAAAATGCATTTTTTGACAAAGAAAATTAAAGCATTGTTTTTTAGTCATCTTTATAAACACCATGGGATTATCAGGTGAAAAGGTTTTACAATACTGCTGCAAACAGGAAGTGGAAAAAAAAATCTAAAAAAAAGGAACGTGCCATCTTAAATTATTAAATTTTTTCCAAGTCTTTTTAGTGGATGGATATAGTGACACTAATATAACAGCAGTAATATCCCTATTATGCTCAACTAGGTATTTGCTTTCAGTCAAGAATCTGTTTGGATTTCAATAAATATTTGGAAATACATAGAAATCAAGCAAGGTATAACATTATTTTCAGTATAAGGTATTCTGCCATTGTTGCCGTCACCTTCCAAAATCGCTAATTAACTGATTTGAACTGTTTGTCACGTGCCAAAATCACGTAACTTTTTTTTACTAGTAATTTGAATTTCTCTTTATCAATGCTGGAGTTCCGATTCCTAAGCCAAACTCTGTTTAATGACTTTCTTTAGGCAAATTTCATAGTTTATTGATTGTATAACACGTATTATATCTTCCTTTTGCAACGTCTCAGTATTGTATTGAAATCTTTTGGACATTAATGTTATAGTATTATTAGCGACTATCTCAGAAATTTCCTCATAAAATATCGTTGGTCCCTCGTAGAGAGTTGGTTCTGCCCATTGGCAACTAGCGAAACCTTGTGATTTCTACACGTACTAGCAGTATAGGATTATTTGCTTTCCTATCAAGATACCTTCTTTTAATGTTTGATTTCCGTTCAAGATACCTTGTCTTAAAAACTTGGTGTACAGACGCGTCCAGCTCCATTTCCTTTTCTTTCTGGTGTGGTTTTGGTTGTGTGTGGGTGTTGTTGTTAACTTCCAGATTTTGGGATATTAACGCCCCAAAGACCAGTTTATGGAGTAGTACCCTTTTATTTTGTACCTTACGTTTAGTTGTGTTGGTTTGGGTGCTACCCCGTCCATTTTCTAATAGGATTTTAACCTTCAACGGTAAGTTCTGGTTTATATACCATCGGAGCACGTCCATTAATGCATGTCCTGGAGAAGTTTGTTCAATATCTGCTTCCTTCTAGTGGAAAGGCATTGTGGAGAACCATCAGTCACACTCCTCCAGCTTTGTTTTGTAGCTGCCTTGTAGCTGTTTCGCAGCAGATTTTGTTGGAAGCCACCCATTCTCCTTGACAAAAAACCCTGATGTGAACATGTAAGATATCATTTTAATTAGGTATTATAGCTATTGATATATTAATTATTGCTGACTGAAATTCTTATAGTTTTCTTACATTGATCATGATTTTGATTTTTGACCTGGCATAACTTTAGTTTAGAGCAAGGATAAATTTCTGAGGGTATCACTTTAGTACATTTTTATCTTTTCCTTGCCTTGCTTTACTTTTCTTGTAAAAGATTTTTATTCAAGTTTTGAGTGTTTTCAATGTGTAGTTTTGTCTCAGACATAGAGTAGAGAGTAGATTTTTAAGCAGTCTTTCTCTCTAGGGTTTTTTATACCGTAAATTTTGGAAAACGAGGCAAGCAGCCCCTACCTTCTGACGTTCCTTACGTCAATGCCCACTGCTGGCCACTTGTTTTTGACCTGATTGTGAGCTGTGGACATTGAATTTTATTGTCAGGTGGTTTTGAATAATATCCTTTCTTTTAACTTGCACTCCAGTGGTGGAGCATAGGTGCTGCTGTTTTGATAATACATACATTGTGATTATTTTTTTTAAATATCTTGTTTTATTTGGCTCTCTGTGTACAATTAATTAGGTTTCGTCATTACTGTTAGATTCTCTTCTTTTATGAGGGTGGTCGGGCAAAACAAGTTCCGATTCATATCTCGGCGACTTGTGGCTTAATCCGATTTAAGTCACTAGGGCTCTTAACCCGCCTTCTCTCTGCTTTAATGATATAGGGCCGAAAGTTGCACGCCACTAGACAGCTGTTTTGCATTGGCTGATCCTTAGATTTCATTAATAGTGTTTTATTAATTCATTAATTAATTAAAAAAAGAAACTAGGAATCATACCACCATTTCCTCTTGTATATAGAAAAGGCGTGGCAGATTAATATATTCTACAGTTGAAAAGTACGTAATTTTGGACGCAAAACCCGTCATGTGAACTTAAATGCTTGGCTCTCTCTAACCTATCCGAATTCGTTGCAGCAGACTAAAAGACTAAACGAATAAACAAACATTTCCACATAAGACCGTTCGTCCTTGGATATGAACCGATGTATAGGCAACCTACTGGTTCATTCTGCTCTTGTCTCCGCAAAACTTCCCGAATTTTTGTTGCGCAAGCTGAGGTGATCCACCTTTTTTACCCACTTCACAAAAGAACAATATGTCAAGACCTACCTCATGATGTAACCATGTAGGGCAGGTTCGTCAGTTTTGTTCAGGGCTAGATGTTCGGCACCAATGTGTGGAATATCGTCAGCATCTTCGTTACGGAAAGGCCAGCGGCTGGAAAAGGAAAATAATTTCCGTTTTCGCGTTTATCACATCCAAATCTTTCCAGGTAGGCAACAATACAGTTAAAAAGGTCAAGAACTTCTAAATATTTACTAGCTGAACACTCAGCTGAAGTTTCATTCATTATTATTCAAATTATTTCGCTTCGAAAGTAGTCTAGGAGATATAGGAAAATGGAGAAGTATCTCACCATTTTCATAGCGATATTTATTAAACCTCAATCACATCTATATGCACCAGGATGATATTTTTAAATTTTAGCTTGCATTCTATCAAACTTTATACGTAGTAAAAAGCCTTTTGTGTACATACACGGAATAAAAATATACTAAGTGACGTATAAAATGCAACACCTAGAATTGCTTATTGAATTTTGATAAAAACTTGTTAGCATACTTGCTATCATGGAAGGCATTCCGAGATGCACTTTTTTAAAGGCTTTTTTGTCATATCAAGATCTGAACAATATGAACATGTTTACTTAATATTCAGTGATTTTTCTGCGTTGGTTGCATTTGACTCATTGTTGTTTCATTGCATTATTTTTAAAGCTGGGGACCCTAGTAAAATCGAAAATTCCCGAGCTATATCTATATTGGATAATTTTGGGAAGGCATTTGAGATATCTGTATACAACTACATCTATCCTTTGACCTCGCATCTGATATCTGAGACGCAATGGATGTGGCCTATATGGATTTCTCAAAGGCCTTCGATAAGATTAGTCACCAAAGAATCATAGGTAAGCTTCAGCATTTTGGTTTTAGCAATAATTTATTAGATTTCATTTCTTTTTACTTGCATGATAGAAATCAGTACGTTTCTTACAATGGTTTCAAATCTTCACCTTACTCGGCCTTATCCGGTGTACCGCAGGAATCAAATTTAGGCCTCCTTCTCTTTCTTTATTTTATCAATGACCTCCCTAGTTGCTTAACCTGTCCTTCTCTGTTGTTTGCCGATGATTTAAAAATATATGCTCCGATTAACAGTATTGATGACTGTCTAATCTTGCAAGCTGACCTGAATTATATATTTGAATGGTGTTCAGCTAATAAATTATTTTTGAATGTTACCCTGTTCTTTTACAACTACATCTATCCTTTGACCTCGCATCTGATATCTGAGACGCAACATGGATTTATGCGCAATCGCTCTACTATTTCCACAGGAAATTGCAGAGGTCTTAGATAATAGGGGTCAGATGGATGTGGCCTATATGGATTTCTCAAAGGCCTTCGATAAGATTAGTCACCAAAGAATCATAGGTAAGCTTCAGCATTTTGGTTTTAGCAATCATTTAATAGATTTCATTTCTTCTTACTTGCATGATAGAAATCAGTACGTTTCTTACAATGGTGTCAAATCTTCACCTTACTCGGCCTCATCCGGTGTACCGCAGGGATAAAATTTAGGCCCCCTTCTCTTTCTTTATTTTGTCAATGACCTTCCTAGTTGCTTAACCTGTCCTTCTCAGTTGTTTGCCGATTATTCAAAAATATATGCTCAGATTAACAGCATTGATGACTGTCTAATCTTGCAAGCTGACCTGAATCATATATTTGAATGGTGTTCACCTAATAAATTATTTTTGAATGTTACCCGGTTCTTTTACCAGGAAAACGAATCCAATAGTTTTTGATTACACACTGAAAGGTGTCAGTTTGATGCGTTGTTCAGAAGAGATCTAGGTGTGTTGTTTGATGTTAAATTAGAATTTACAGGTCACATTAGTATAATAGTATCATCCGCTATAAAAAGTCTCGGTTTTTTGATCAGAAACTATAAATCGTTTGGTAGTGAAACGGTACTGAAGGCCTTATACTGCACCTTGGTGCGTTCTAAGCTGGAATATGCATCTAGTGTATGGCATCCATATTACCAAATCTATACTAATGAAATTGAAAGTGTACAGAGGAGATTTCTTAAATACTTGACTATCAAATTAGATGGTGTTTATCCCAATCGTGGGACTCACCAATCAGCGATGTTGCTTAGATTTGAAATGCATACCCTTGTGCTGAGAAGAGTTTGTAATAGTCTAAAATTCCTTTACAAACTCGTACACAGTGATGTTGATTCTTCAGCTTTATTAGCCTAAATTGATTTTCATGTACCGTTCCGCATTTCCCGAAGATTTCTCGCTTTTTACTTAAAAACACCAAATACTAAAGTTATGATTAAGTCACCCGTGTACTTAATGTGCTCCAGCACTCCTAGCCGGTGTTGCATTTTCTATGTCACTTGGTATAAATCTGATAACAATGTTTGTGATTTAAGAAGATTTAGTTGGCAGAAAGTAGTTGTATTAACTTTGTGGAAGGCCTTTATAATCCGCTAGTCGGCCCCATTGACCTTGAGAGTCATCTGCAGTATAGTAAAACTAGCAAATCCTACGTATTTTGATGCAGCAGCATACTTGCCGAGTATGTTGATCCGCATGAAAATAATACCTAAAATTTGACTAGTTTTTATCATTACATATCAGTACGCGATGTAACCAAAACTTTGCGGTCGGCTCTTGGACTATTACTTGGTTGCAAATATTAACAGTCATCTATGTGTAGACCGTCCTTGACCAACGAGACGGTGTTCACTAGCTGCCATAAACTATTTGTAAAACGCTACATCTATACTAAGCAGAATGAAATTCATGGTTTTTGGTGATTACGTCAAAAGTCATACGGTCGGCCGCCCCATTGACCTTGGGAGCCATCTGCATTATAGTAGGGAAGCCGATCGCAAATTTGTTATTACATCATCGGGTACTGATATTATATGATAAAAAACAAGCACATCCTACGTATTGTGATGCTGAGCAGCATGCTTGCCGAGTATGTGGTTTCGCATAAAAATACTTAAGATTTGATTTAACCTTCCATATCAGTTCGCGATGTAACCAAAACTTTGCGGTCCGCTCTTGGACTATTACTGGGCTGCAAATAAGCAGAGAAATGTATGTGTAGACCGTCCTTGGCTACCAACACAGTGTTGCCAAGCTGGCATAGACTAGTTGTAAAACGCTACATTTATACTAAGCAGAATGAAATTCACGGTTTTTGGTGAATAAGTCAAATGTCATACGGTCGGCCGCCCCATTGAACTTGGGAGCCATTTGCATTATGGTAGAGAAGCCGATCGTAAATTTATTATTACATCACCGGGTAGTGATATTATATGATAAAAAACAAGCACATCCTACCTGTTTTGATGCAGCAGCATACTTGCCGAGTATGTTGTTCCGCATCAAAATAATACGTAACATTTGACTAGTTTTTATCATTCCATATCAGTACGCGATGTAACCAAAACTTTGCGGTCAGCTCTTGGATTATTACTGGGTTGCAAATAAGAACAGACATCTATGTGTAGACCGTCCTTAGCTACCGACGCAGTGTTGCCAAGCTGCCATAAAGTATTTATAAAACGCTACATTTATACTAAGCAGAATGAAATTCTTGGTTTTTGGTGATTACGCCAAAAGTCATACGGTCGCTCCACCCATTGACCTTGGGTAGGGAAGCCGATCGTAAATTTTGTTGCTACATCATCGTGTACTGATATTATATGATAAAAACAGGCACATCCTACGTATTGTTATGCCTTTGCGGTCGGCTCTTGGGCTATTACTGGGTTGCAAATAAGAGCAGCTATCTATGTGTCGACCGTCCTTGGCTACCAAGGCGGTGTTGCCAAGCTGCCATAAACTATTTATAAAACGCTACATTTGTACTAAGCAGAATGAGATTCATGGTTTTTGATGATTACGTCAAAATATTAATTTATCTCAAGACGATGTGTTTATTTACATATCGTCTTAGGTCTAGGCTGTCTAGATAACTCCCGACCATCTCAAATAGATCGGCTATTGGTCAAAAAGCAATTTGAGGTTGTATAGTATTCCGCTTCTCTGGTTTATAACTTTATTGAATGACCAATATATTTTTTAGGTTGTAAATTGATGATTAAGGATTATCTGAATTTGGAAACAATCATACTTATTTCCGACTAAATGAGAACAGCCGTGCTTAGAACTGTTTTGTGGACGCCATGTTTTTGGAGTCATCTCTTATCTCTCTCTAATTTTATTCGCATTGTCTTGTCTTTACATAACTACTCTTTGGTAGGGGTACAGCTGTGAGTTAGTAAAGAGCGTGTATTAACATATATACATAATTTTAATACATTATTATTTGTTGGAGTAACGATGCCTTTGACATTTGGCAAAGCTTTTCAATTTTTTAGGGGCTAGTACCCTCATACTCTTGGTCAAATGTATATTGTAAGTACGCGTCAATTACTGTTTTAATTTAATATTGTGCAGATACTATATTTTAATTTAAGATGATCGTAAAAATGCTAGACACTGGAAGAAAAAAATGATATTTATTTATCTTGTCATATACTGTATTTTATCATTGAAATATGCTCCTTCTATGTGCCTTTCATTTTATAACGATACATCATTTTCGCATTTTTTGTACTGCGTATACATATCTAATATTTCTGACCTAATAAACATTGATAATAAATCATTACCTCTGTGCATGGACTAGCATCAGACCGGCTGACATAATGAGCTTAACTCTGTGCACTACAGGATTTGCCTTGTGGTCCTCTTCTTTGAAAGCTTTTGAAATTAAAAGGCAGTTTTTCTTCCCATAACGCGATAACTGAAATAGATAGTATTCAAAATATTTACAAGAATTGCTACAAAATATTTAAGAAATTACCTCTAATATCAGTGACAGGCAGGCAGGATAGAATGTCATAAAAACTACATAGTTCACCAATACTGACAGGCAAGCAAAATATGACAGCGTCTCAAGTCTTTGAATACCTGAAAAAGATGTATATTATTACACAGCCCAATGGTCATAAGGAATATAAATGGCAACACTGGATAGTTACTGTCCACCTAGCGAAGAGACTCGATGTGTCACTGATTTTTTAAGGCAGGGGAAAACTTTCATAGTCTCTCGAGTCAAAAAGTGCGATATGTTCTTCCCGTTAGTCTTCCCTGTTGGAGATTCTCTAGAATATTATACATCCCTTAGTCATTCACGATGCATCCCTCCATGGAAGCACAAGACATCATTTCGTCTTGGTGGGCTGGGTATAGGTCTTAAAGCATACATTTGTAACCGCTTGAAACTTTAGTACATTCTTTTTACGAAGATGGAATTTTAAAGAGCCTACAAAACCGGCAACATGTTTATTTTAAGCAAAAAGGCAGTAATTCCGGTATTTTTATTACACTTGAGTTTAACGTTTTCTTTAGTGTATCCAGAATTTGCTAAACTGCAGTAATCTACCCATCCCAGCTCTAAATAGCCATTATCTTTGAGCATTATTGCACATCATCAATAACTCATGTACAAACACTGTAACGATGTCATTCTGCTAGGGCGTCCCAGTGGGGTAAAAAAAATTATTGATATCTCAAAAATTCATTACGCGATTCTGTTGAAATTTGGCAATATTATTTGTTGTATTAAGATGCTAATTTAGCCCTGAATAGATTAAACTTATTAGGTCCAGTGGCGTGCCAGGGAGCACCTTAGCGAATATTATTGGCAAAAAAATGTAGGCCACTGCCTTTTGTAGCTTTTGTTGTTTGATTAAGCATCTAAAAATATAACTTCTTTGCCACGTTTTCGAGAAAAAAAAATAAAAACTGTTTTATTGCATCACACTGGAGAAAATTGGTTTATTAAATTTTGTGCATTGGAAAACAAAAAATCATTTCTGCATTGAGGTAATTTTCTTTGCGAAGTTTCTCTAAAACGTTTTAGTCTCAGTTTTTGTGATGGAGAATTACAGGAAATTTTTGATTGCGTTCAAAATCATCAGAACCGAAAAAAAAAGATCAGAAGGAAAAGTCGTTTTTTCGCGATTACAGAACTTTCCTGGTCTACTGGCTTGACTAGAAAAATGAGCACCCTGTTTGAATTTTGAGGGATATGTACGGCCTAAAAACATATAAAATTTGCAGTACAGCAAACATTTCAAATATATGATCTCAAGTGTTGCTTTCAAGTATTGCAAACAACTAAATTATTAAAAAAAAGTGTTTCGCGCAATATTTGCCTGAATGTTTCAAACAAGTTTTCAATATTTATATGAATTAGCAAATCGTAGTGGAACACTATATAAATAGAATACAGATAGAAAGAAAACTATCAAGCATAGTTATATGTATAGATATGATTTGTGAAGCTTTCACCAAATTTTTGCTCTCGTCTTCCGTTTAGAGCTGGGTACGCCCTTGTCATTCTGTAGATAAGCTTTAAGATGATCGATTTTTAAAATAATTGGTTTAGGCGATCATATCATCATGATTTGTTGCATTTCAGTTTATTTTTTAGGTATGCACGAGGGAGATAAAATATATTTCGAATATGTCACAAAGTAAACAGGACAAAGAAGAAAATGAACAAATATTTTTCGTTTCGAAAAATTGAATTTATTTTATTCAAAATAGCCTCCTTCAAACTTGATACAGCGATTTGCATGGGCCAAAAGATTTTCGAATTATGATTTTAGCTCATTGATCGGGATGTCCTTCAAAATGGTCGTCGACGCCTTTTGGATGGCATCTATGTTTGCATACTGCTGTCCCTTCATGGCCAAATATCCTCTACCGGACAGAAAATAGTCACATGGTGCCATATCAGTAGAATATGGGGCGTGGTTGATGGTTAAAATGCCATTTTTTGTCAAAAAATCGGACATGAGCGTCGATTGATGAGACGGTGCGTTATCGTGCAGCAAGCGCCATCTTCCCTCTTCACGATATTCGACAATATTCGACGAATACGCGACAGGAAGCGCCTCACAACACCAAGATAGAACACAGTCAACCGTTTGGCCCGGTGGAACAAATTCAGTGTGAATAATTCTCTTTGAATCGTAGAAACAAATCAACATTGTCTTAACGTTGGACTTTTCAGAACGACTTTTTTTCGGTTTTGGCTTCCTTGGGAGCTTCCATTCGGCACCTTGACGCTTGGTTTCGGGATCGTATTGGAAACACCATATTTCGTTACCAGTCACAATGTTGTACAGAAATTTTTTGTCTTTTTGGCCTCTTGAATGATGTCTCTCGAAGCAATTTTTGGTCATCCGTGAGCTTGTGCATAACCAACCGTGAACACCTTTCTCATACCCAAATTCTTGATCAAAATGCGATGGATTGAATCTTTAGAGATATTTAATTACATTTCTATGTATCTCAATGAAGGTAATGGATCATTTTTTATAAACTCACGTACATGTTCGTCGTCTTCTAGAGACTCATGACCTCTCTAAACCTTGTAAACCACTCGTGGACTCGGCTTCGAGATAAACAATCATCACCATACATTTGCTTCAACATCTGATACGTTTCGGTAAATGTTTAACACATAACTTAATATTGATGCTAAAAAGGTACTGTCACTTTCAGGGCGAGAACTCGACTGTCATGAAATCTTGACAGGGCATCAATGAAAGATATACCCATCCAACGCTAGTCTCCGATAATAGATGGCGCTACTTGTATCTGATATCATTCAAAAGTCCTGTTTACTTTGCGACAGACCTTGTAAGCCAAACCTTGGGAAATTTTCAAACTCGAAGTATCTTAACACAGACTAATTCTATCTTTATTTGTTAGGCTTTTGATTTACTCGGTATTGGTATAATCTTTTCAACCGGATATTCAATTATCACAAAGACAAAGTGAAGAAATAATCTTACCTGACAATGTTCCAACACCTAAAACTAAGGTTTCGACTATAGTGTCCAAGGTAATTGTAGGCCCCAGCAGGGACATACCTCTGGCAATGTTGCGTTTTACTTCAGTTTGATTTGACGCAGTTAAAGCAAACTGGGCAAGCATAGCAGCTTTTGACAGGTCGATCAACAAAAGAAAAAAGAACAGCGCATCTCTGGAAATAAGAATATTTTATGAGTACAGTTGGGAGCAATAATAATTACGTGATGATCTCCGTATGTTAGGGGAAATTGGTAAATATGGCGACGGTAGAGTGGCCAAAAGTTGTTTATGCACTAGGACATTATGTCCCATTAGCCAGATCCAATTGTATATATTTTAATTCTACAACCCTATTCGTAGTCCCATTACGCCGCGGCACAACGAAGATGCAGCGCAGCAAAGCGGCAATAGCTATTGGTCATTCGGCCATAAAACTACGAACAAGTGCAGGATTCGACAGGACAGAACGCAGGCTCGGGGTATTGCCGGCACGCCGACGCCTGCAGTTGCTGTTCATATTCGGTGCATACATAGCGTGTGACGTTAGCATGTCGTCTACGGATACAGCCATGCCTTCTTTTCAGTGATGGCGCCTCCCCAAAAACGTGACAAGAAGGAACATTTGAATATTCCGGCAAAAGAAATATATATATATATATATATATATATATAGGTGAAAAATTAAAGCTTCCGCCTTTTATTGGGTACTTCGACAAAATTTAAGTAAAGAGGACTCTTTATACCTTATTAATCTCTCTAGCTTTCAACGGTCTTTGCCATCATCATCAGGAGCTGCAATAGAATTGAGAAAAATAGCAACTATTGTGCAAAATGAATTTTTAATTAACTTACAGTAGTATGTGAGGATGTTGCTAAATGTTATACTACTGTAAGCTTATTTAAAATTCATTTTGCACATTAGTGGCTATTTTTCTCAATGTTATTGCAGCTCCTGATGATGATGACAAAGACCATTGAAAGCTTGAAAGATTAATAAAGCATAAAGAGCTCTTTGCTCTTTGCTTAAATTTTGTCGAAGTACCCAACAAAAGGCGGAAGCTTTAATTTTTTACCTAACTGGTCTAGACGACAATGACCATGTCTCAAATTATATATATATATAAAGAGAAAATGATCATGCGGAGAAAGGTATATAACAAAAAATAGGAAAATAATGGGCAAAATCTGCAAAAAGAAGGAAAGTGGATTCGAGCAGAAAATAGGATAGGTAACCCGAGCGATACGTATTTCTGCTGGTTGGCTCCATCAGGCCTGAAATGAATGCACATATGCAACCACAAAGGTGGATACACATGCCCATACATCCGGATACGGGTGCAACCTGAGGAAACAAAGATGGAGAGGGAAAAATCACACACGAAGTCCACAACAAGAGCCAACCTACACATTGTAGTATAAAATGGCTAGAAGACCTTGAATTTTCAAGGCGACATCAAACCACAACCACGCGGCCGGTTATAGCCACCTGCTGTAGTACTTCAAGCCCGAAGGATCGTCAGGTTACACCGGTATCCGGATGTGTGGGCACGTGTATCTACTTTTGTAGTTTCATATGTGCATTCGTTTCGGGCCCCATGAAGCCAACCAGCAGAAATACGTATCGCTCGGGTTACCTATCCTATTTTCTGCTCGAATCCCCTTTTCTTTTGTTTGCGGATTTTGCCCATTATTTTCCTATTTTTTGTTATATATATATATATATCTATTGTTAGCATATATTAATACTTACTTTAGGTCAGCTATGTTTATTTTCAATAGCTTCAATACTGTCGTTGTGAAAATGAAGCTCGAGAATACCGTGAACAGTCCTGCAATTCCTGTAAAAGAATAATGGAAAAGTAAAAACCATGTTTTATCAAATTTCAATGAATCAACAGCATACAGGGTCTTCTAAAAATAGACGGATATATCTTAGGGGGTGATTCGTTGTGAAAAAAATATAAAAAAGGTTCTATAAATATGGGTCCGGAAATGCAGTTTTCAAAATAATAAATAAAAAAAAATAATATATTAAAAATATATACTGGATTCTGTTGAAATTTGGCAATATCATTTGTTATATAAAGAGGCTAATTTTTTGTAACTTAAATATTTGTTGTTTGATTAAGGATCTAAAAATACAACTTCTTTGCCTCTTGTATTTCTACCGTATCTCACTTCGCTTTCGAGAAAAAATGTCACTGGACAAAATTGGTATATTAATTTTTGCTGAACAAATCACAAATGCCTTGGAAAAATAATAAAAAAAGCGTTATTGCAACTTTTCCAATAGGTACCACGACATAAAGTACACTACAACAAATGTTGGAAATTTCCACTATCCATTTCCGTACACCTTCTCACTCGATGAATTATTGAACGACAAACTCGAGCTAAAATTCGAGGCTATTTCTTATTTCTTTGCAACCATTTACGATTTTATTTCTTAACTCTATTATTTCTAAGGAAGTAGCGTAAACCATCATCTCAAGGTGTACCCATAAATAAAAATCAATTGGATTTTGGTCAGGGGAGCGTGGTGGCCAGTGAATGTTTCTCCACCTCTTCCAACCAAATTTCCACCAAAGGTGTTATTCGGACGAGTTGTGACAGGTATACTAAAATAAGGAGGAGCTCACTATACTCACATCTGCAACAATATAACTGTGTGGAGATAGGCAAGTATTTTACTGTAGAAAAGAGTTTTTAGGTTGAATTTTAATATTAGCCAAAGATACCCTTGTGAGGAAAGCTTTATCCGACACAATCTGCTCTCAGTATCAGCCCATGCATATACAAATGCGATATCTTCGCATTGTCCTATTGAAATAAATTCACACAAAAGAATAAAATCAACATCGATTACAACACAAGAAGTGGCTATGATTTGTCTGTCCCTGCACATAGCACTATGTTATTTGAAAAATCTCCACTGTAACTAAGACTACCAACATTAACCTTCTCAAGGTCTATCTGAAGAGATGTCTTGTTGACAAGTGCCCTCACACACTCTAGCTGACTATGTTTTATCCTAAAATTGTAAACCAATTTATTGTATGTGATGTTTTGTGTAACATGGCTTAAATGTATCTTAAATGTGATTGTTTAAGCGTCTGTATTGCCCGTTTATATATTTTATCGCAATATTAACCTTATTGTGTTGGCCCTAATAATGCCTTAGTCATTCTACATCTGCCATTTTCTGTACAAGAAACATAGCATGGATACGTTTTCCTATGATAAGCGAGGTGTAAATTGTACGCACTTATCAGCCATGGCCTATCCTACATCATTTTTTAAATGATCAAATGGATCAATAAAGTATCTACTTATCTAATGTTTTTTAATAGACCCATATTCGCTTCGGAAAGCAAACATCCTAATCAACCGGCAATATATTGAGGTACAACGATTGTTGTTGCTTGCCAGGAGATCAAAATATAGGGATTTTTGAAAATATTAGATTCCAGATATCTTATTTCTCAGCTCGTCGCAAAGAATCCTATACTTTTATTGCTATGACAATTATTTTCATTGTTGTATCTGAAAATTTTAGCTTGACCTGCGTTAGATATGGTTGGTCACACACGGTGATAGAGCAACATATCATACCACAAAAACAGTACTTTCACCGATCTTGTGTTGTTGGAGACCATGACATTGAATAATTTTCTCTTCACTTTCTTCCATTTGTTTTATTCATAATATTAGCATTTCTAGAAGTTCCCTGTATGCTACGGTCATGTACTCGTACTTAATTTAACATGGTTCGCTACCAATTAATACTTTGCAAGAATAAAACAATTATTAGTGTAGATTTTTAATTAGAAGATTCTCATCTAGTGCATTATTTAACGGGTACTTTATTCATTCAGAGGAAAAGAGGTTACGTTGATTGCCAAAACACTGTGTCCTGGTGGTCATGACATGACTATGTAGACCAGATGAAAAAGCTCCAAAATCTGCTAAAAATCGTCTTAACATGTGCTTATAACATTCTAACGCTCCCAAACGAATGGTACCTGGTAAATATCGATCACATCCGTGACAACAGGACTTTATTATTTCCTGCTAATCGATATACAGGGTGGCGCATCGATAACGAAACAGACGCGTTTACTGGCAGCTGTTTTTTTTTTGGAAAAACGCTCAGACACGTCAATTTTGTTTTCGAGGGGGACACAAGTTTAGCAAAAAATCACGTTAGCAGGTGCAGCCCCCTAAGCGGGGGTGACACCACCCCCAAAATCTTAAATAGAAAGGGGGGTCGAGTGATACCTTATTTTAAAGGTCTTTATAATGATATAAAATTAATGTACTTCAGTTCAGTAGTTTTGAAGATTTATTGATTTAAAGCTTAAATAAAACTAATACATCATCATTAGTGGAGATCAATACCTTTGGCAGCAAAGTAATTAAAACATGAAGAACGAACTGACCCGTTTGGCAAGTAAACGTTGAAAATGGCCACCATGACTCTCCATGCAATAATAAAGATTTTGCTCAAAACGTTGCCGCACATTTCGCAATATTTGAGGAGTAATTTGAAGGCACTCATTCACAATTCTTTGTCGCAGGTCTTTTAATGATGTTGCCTGAGTAGCATAGATTTTGATTTTTAAATGACCCCACATAAAGGAATCCAAAGGTGATAAATCTGGCAATCTTGGGGCCCATTCAATTGCACCTCTTCTACCAATCCATCGATCTGGAAACGTCTGATCTAAATATTGTCGAACACGTAATGCGTAATGTGGTGGGGCACCATCCTGTTGGAACATCAACCTATTCGCAATGTACCGCCGATCATTCTGATTTCCAATTATAGCTGTTAATGCAGGATCTATGGCGTCTTCCAGTAATTCCAAATACATTTCACCGGTCAAATTTCCAGGTAAGAAAAAAGGACCAACTAAATGATCGCCATAAATACCAGCCCAAACATTTGATTTTTGTGGCTGCTGTGTATAAATTCTGGGATTAGAATCGGACCAATATCGGCAGTTATGACGATTTACTACGCCATTTAAGAAAAAAAAACATTCGTCGGAAAAGCAAGTGTTGAATAGAAAATGTTCATCGTTTATAATTCGTTCACTCATATCTTCACAAAATTGTAATCGCTGATCAAAATCGTCTTCATTAAGTTCTTGTACCAGGTGAATTTTATACGGATGAAAACTGTGGGCCTTTAGAATCCGTTGGACAGTACGTAGACTAACACGACACACAGTCTCCAATTTGCGGGTACTTAACGTAGGATCTACATAAACTTGCCCTAAAACCTCCAATTCTATTTCTTCGTTCCTTATGGGATTTTCAATGTTGCGTTTTTTATTGGCGACTGACCCAGTTTCCCGAAATTTAGCTACAAGTTCTAGAACATATTTTCGATGCACGTTACTGTTCTCATGTCGCTCATTAAATATTTCTGCTGTTCTATTAGCGCACTAATTATTTACCTAAAATATTTCGATAATTTCAACTCTTTCTGCTGTGGAATATACCATGGTTAATTTATGTAATAAAGCGTTACAAGTTATTTTAGCAACAAAGTTTGGTCAAATCAATCGCAAACTATGAACTAAATTCCTATTTAAAATAATTACGAGATATTTCCTTATCTTTCTTCAAGAAATAATTTTTTTGCCAAAAAAAAAAAACGCTCGAATAGCTATTTTCAACAACAAAATGATAAACAAACCATGGGCGTAGTGAAGAAAAGCAATTACTTATTCAGTGAATTCTTTTAGTCAAATTTCTTCTGAAAGTAGTAGAAACTAATCTGATGTACCTATTAAAGTCTACTTTAAGCTTTAAATCAATAAATCTTCAAAACTACTGAACTGAAGCTCATGTATTTTACATCGTTATAAAGGGATTTGAAAGAGCTTTAAAATAAGGTATCACTTGACCCCCCTTTCCATTTAAGATTTTACAGTTGGTATCACCCCCGCCCAGGGAGCTGCACGTGTTAATGTGATTTTTTGCCAAACTTGTGTACCCCTCGAAAACAAAATCGACGGGTCTGAGCGTTTTTACAAAAAAAAACTGAGCTGCCAGTAAATGCGTCTGTTTCGTTTTCGATGCGCCACCCTGTATAACGTTTAAAATTTTGAATCTTAATTGGCCATGAATAAGAAATATCTTCCCAAATTTTGATGATTGGAATTGATGAATGAAACACAATACCATTCAAATGACAGCCACGGTTGGGACGACAGTAGCTTATCGGATTAACGGAAGTAGTCTGCGATTGCTTTATTTAAAATAGTCCTACAAGATCAAATCGCAACTCTGACGCGCCCAATTTACATCAGATCTTTTGGTGATTATTCGGTTTTCGTAAACATAACATGGTAGCGCTCGCTATTTATTTAATCAGCAGCTATTTGCTCGTTTTCGAAGAAAACTGGACCAAACACTGCTACAAACAGTCACCTGTTGACATTGGCTTCCACGGCGTGTAAACTACCTGATCCACAAATGCCGCAATTTTGCTTATTCAGTTTGTCTTCAGTTGCTTAAATATCTCTCATCGGCTTTTCTCACAGTGGGTCGAATAAACACAATAATAAATAAATAATAAATAAGTAAATAAATAAATGAATAAATAAATATATAAACAAATAAATAAATAAATAAATGAATAAATAAATAAATATCTATTCAAATAAATAAAGTGAGTTCAAGCTTGAAGATGAATTTTCGGTAAAACGCTTATCTTCGGTCTGGCGACTTTCAGTTCATTGGCCGATCCGAAAACGCATCGGTTGGTCCCATTTTCTAAATTTCTTAACACGTTATAAATGAGATATGAAATTTTGCTCTCAACAAATTCCAAACACTAGATGGCCCACTCTGTATGTCTTAGAACTGCTAAGCTGCACCAAATTATTGCGTTCTCAGACAGTGATGACCTCCAGGTGTTCTGAGACAGACATCGCTATCAAGCTTCTTCTGTTCAGCTCAACCGCAGAAATTGGAATTGGAACACCCGTGTTGACATTGTGGGACGAACCGGAGAATCCATCCTTAAATCATCGTCTTACTACCGGATATGAAGTAAGCCATGCCTCCTGCAAAGCCTTTTATTGGAGGCCATAGGACGGAAATTTGTAAAGTATGTGGCCATATAATTTGTAATATCTAGTGCAAAAACGTGACAGTCGCAAAATAGGTGAATAAGCTGAGGGGTTATCTATGAATATATTTTTTTTAACTGAGTTTGGAATTTTTTCATATGATTCTTTTATTACTACCGCATGATCCAAAGTTTTTAACATTATTTATTTAAATACGTAAGGAGTGAATATTATGTACATTATATGAGTGAGAAACTTACCAAGAATGTATTTAGAGCCTATTTTTTGTAGTTTGCAGAACTGGTAGTACGAATATAGCACGGCCAGGCATCTTATTATGGTCATCACTATTACGTCAGCTGCATTATATTCGGCCTGAAACAACAAAAAAAAACATATTACTTAAATTCGCTGTTTCGTCTTTTATTGTTATATTTTTTTTACTGATTCCTAAATTTCCTGGAACATCCTTTTTATTTAATTAGATATCATTTCTACATAGTATCTCGCATGAACTCATGTTGTTCCAGTTGTTTGTAATCATTTTTAGGTGGAAATCTCTTAATCTTGTCAACTTGTCTAGCATACGCTTTCACAATGCCATGTGTCATATGCTTAATTTTTTTTTGAGAGCCACAACGTAGAAATTATAATTACAAAAAGATGACGTTCAGAAAATGTTATATATTTAAAAACCTAATGACGTAGCTTCGTGGCCTCTGGATCAATTTCTGAAACCACTGAAATAATAGTAACCTTAGTTCAAAATTTCACTAAAATCCGAGCGGTACAAGTGACAAGGTTTTTCGCGATGCATTTATCGTGAACATCAAAAAAACATAATATGTAATTCAAACTACAATACAGTGGACCCCCGATAATTCGGCCCCTATCTAATCCGGCGCCCCCTGTAATCCGACATGTCTTTGAATATGTATTACATACACGTATTAGACAATCTTCGCTAATGTAGATCACGCAGGTTTGAACAGGTTACAACTTGTACGCGCCACCGCTATCGTGCTCGACGCGTAAGCATTGTTTTACTTAGTTTGAATTTGACTACTGGTGATAGCGGTACGGCCTAGCGTGCGTTCATTGTTTACTATTTATTCATTGTGTATTAAGTATAGTACCTAGTAATGTCATCACAAACTCAGAAGCGAAAGCACAAAACATTGACAATTAAAGAAAAATGTGATATTTTAGACCGCTTTTAATGACTATTACAGGAGAGAAACTTTCTAACGATGCCACCTGCATAGAGCCCTTTAAATTAAGATTTTTGCAAAAGGTGAACGATTTAAATCTTGACCCGTACCTGGACAAAAAGTAAGTAAAGGGCGTGTAACCATACTACCATGTGCTAACGCTGCGGGCACACACGCGCTTAAGATGATGGTCATTGGGAAATCTAATAAACCATGGGCATTCAAAAACATTGATTTTTCTGTACACTATTACGGACAAAAAAGTGCATGGACGACAAAAGATCTTTTCAAAATGTGGTTTGATGAATGCTTCGTACCTGAAGTTAGAAAATGGTTAAAAGATCATATTTTTCTTCAAAAAGCGTTGTTGCTTCTTGATAATGCTCCCGGTCATCCGTCTGAAGAAGAACTAACAACTGAGGATAAATGCATCACTGCGATGTTTCTTCAGCCAAATTGCACTGCACTGATTCAACCAATGGATCAGAATATCATTCAATTTGTCAAGCAAGACTATAAGAAAAACCTACTTCTGAGATCCGTATCACAAGACCAACCAATAGAAAAAACTTTAAAAGAATTTAATATAAATGACTTGGTTTTTGCTCTTTGTCGCTACTGAAACACAGATAAGTCCGGAAGATTTCAAAATCTGGTGCCGTGGAATGGATAAAGAGGAAAATGTTTTTCATGAAATGTCTGACGAAGAGATTATAAAAGAGGTTTCTAATTATACAACAAACAATCAGGAAAATAACGACGACGTGATTGCAACTGCTCCACAAGTCACAATACAAGACGCAATTAACGCCTTTGAGCTAGGTTTACAATGGGCTGAAGAGAATGGTACATCCTACAACGAACTTTTACTTTTGAGAAGACTGAGCGACAAAGCTCTGATCTCGCGTTATAACAACCTTAAACAAAAAAAATTGATGAATATTTCCAAGCTTCATAATTCGATAAATTCATTAATGATTTTGATTAATAATACTTGATTATTTTGGTACATATTACGCATTAAGCATTTATGCTTAATTTTATAATAAAACGTAAGCTCTCTATTGTCATTTAATTTACTAAATTCGACATACATAAACTATGTATGATTTGTACGTCAAAGTACATACATACATATACATAACATATACATATAATCTTACCATTGGATATGTAATTTGTCGGATTCCAAGGTACTCTTTTGTAAAAAATTCCGGACTATAGAGGGTCTTAGGCAGTGCTCTATAATCCGACTAATTCGATAGTCCGACACTGTCCTGCATAATGTTTGTCGGATTACCGGAGGTCCACTGTACCACCTCGCCTTCCTAATCGAAAGTATATATAACGAATAGCAGCGGTCCTAATACAGAGCCCTGAGGCAAGTCTGGAGACATTTCTTGATTGACAAAAACACACTGAGCTCTTTGCCAAAAAATGAAAGGGGTACATTGTCAAGTCCCCCGTAATTTAATTTAGCAAGTAACATTTATGGTTGATGCTGTCAATGATACTACACGGATTTGAGCTTCCTTAAATATCAAAACAGTCTGATGGCGGCAACGTATTATAGACCATCGGCTTTGGTGACTAACAGTTTGCCAGACCTTTGACCTACGGTAACAGCGAGACTGTAAAGTAGTACGAGTTAAAAATATCCCAGTCTAACACACAAAAATAGAAAGTACCTACTAAAAAAAGGATACCAAAATATAAACACCTATTTTTAGTTTAGTCTATATGGGTACATATATTTCTTTTTATATTTCAATAACATCTTTTAGAAGTGCAGTTCGCGCATAGTAATGGGTGTGTCAAGTTACACCAAAGCGCGTAAGGACAAATCTTTCTATTCAAGAAAGACGTAAACATTTGTATTTTGAATACAACAAAAATGGGAAGGCAGGCTGGTGTATGAATATTAACATTGTGTTTTGACTGAAAATAGCTTGGATTATTATACAACGCTCCTAGAATGTCAAATACGAATGTGCATGGACAAACAACTTAATTCTTGGATTATATGAACAGTAGGCTTCAAATTCACTATACTAAAATTTCAATTTTATGTTTATTGGATAGTATGCCATGTATAATGCACCTGTTCTTTTGGTACCTTTTAATGAGTGAAAAAAATGGCGTCAGGTAGGTGGAATTTATACTTTCCACGCAATTCTGTCGTTTGGTTTATTTCCAGAACTAACGCCATAGAAAATTTGATACAAAACAGATCGATTAAAGCTATTGTGAGTGAGATATACAGGGTGTTTCACAACTTATCCGACAAATGCACTGTTACGAAAGGAGTTGATTCCTCAAACAAATGTAATAAAAGTCCTACAGAAATTAAGTTATAAACCTGAGTTTCAATGATAAATTGAAAAATAAATATCTGTATTTTGCGCTCATCGTCGACGAGGGATGTCTTTTAAGCTTTGCATATAGAAACATAGTAGGCCGCGCGGATCGAACGTCAGTACTGAATCTTAACCTCACTCTTTAGTAAACTTAAATTCAAAGTTACACAACAATACGTGCAGTGTTCTCACTACAGTGAATTTTTAAGGGTCAAAAAGTTATTAGAAAAATGGGACTCAACCGAGAAACTTTTCGCGACATAATTTATTACAACTTTCAGAGACAATTATTATCGCAACAAGAATGCCTTGCTGAGTTACTGTCTGTTTTCAGCAACGAAGCGCCACATCAGTCGACAATTTCCCGTTGGTATGGAGAATTCAAACGTGGACGGGCGAGACCACTGCTTACCTAAGTTAAGATACAGAGCAGAAACCTTTAGATGGCTACGCTGTTGAATGGGTGGGGTAGGGATGTTCGATACGATCTGATATTTAGAAGTATCGATACTTTTGCCTCCGATACCCGATATTTTGGATTGATATTTTTATATACGATACTTGGGTGTATCGATACATTACTTGTCTTCTTTTTTTCCTATCGCTGGTGCTGGAGCATTGGAAATATTTCCAATGGTAGAAATATTTCCAATGCTCAAGTTGAGCGCAACTAAGATGGAAGAAACCTTTCGCCAGCTGATTGGCGTGACCACTGCTTACCTAAGTTAAAATACAGAGCAGAAACCTTTAGATGGCTACGCTGTTGAATGGGTGGGGTAGGGATGTTCGATACGATCTGATATTTAGAAGTATCGATACTTTTGCTTCCGATACCCGATATTTTGGATCGATATTTTTATATACGATACTTGAGTGTATCGATACGTTTCACGAGTATCGTTATTCTTCGATCCGGCCTGTGTCAGAAAGACTAAATAACTTCAGATTACTTGTCTTCTTTGTTTCCTTTCGCTGGTGCTACTCATTTCACGACCTTACATAATTTATTTTGAATTCCAGGGTTGCCATATTAGGGGGTTTTCCCTAAAAATCAGGAGATTTTTATTTCAACGGAAGATTTTGGAGATATTTTTTTCTGAGTTTATTTCGGGGAAACATATTTTACTGAGAAGGTATTATTATGCAAAATTTACTTGTTATGTATTTATTTGTCTTTCGATTCGAAAAAATACTTTTACCTTTTGAGGTTTTTAGCGACATATGAACACAGGATAAATGGTATTATTTTTGAAAAGTCCTAAATTTAGGGAATTTTTACATTTTGACTTTGGAAATTGAGCTAAACCACTTGGCAACCCTGTTGGATTCGGTTCCGGGGAATTACACATACATGACACAGTGTTTTTAGTAGTGATTGATTAAACATTATAGTTTTGTGAAATCGAGTTTAGGTGGGAGATGTAAGTTATGTCATTGTGAGGTTTTTACCTATTTTTATTACTGTACGTATTTTATAATCTAGTTATGCAGTTGGAAAGTGTAAAGATTATTTTGAGGGTTGTAGAGAAAGCAACTTCGATTTTTGGCAGTGTATGTCCGTACCGGTTTCTATACTTGTGGTATAGATATTTTTATTCTGATATGAGAGTATCGATACTTCCCAAAAGGATACGAATCGATACATTGTATCGATACTTTTCGTGGATCTGAACATGGGGGCTTACTATTGTATGGGCATATTTGACTGACTTGATCCATTTAATTCCTATGTTACAATTAACTTATTTATATTTATGCCGAGCACAATCCTTTACGAACGCGTTGCGTGGGAAGTGCAGCGTCAACCGACTTAGCAGTA